CTGCGCGGCCACGCGCTCCTCTTCCTCTCCGCCGACATTGCTTTCGAGGAGGGCCTCTCGGGAAATAACATGCAGATGCTAGTGGAGATGGCCAGCAATATCCAGGCCACAAGGGCCCGCTTCATCCTCCTTGCTGGCTGGAACATGGAGGTCTCGGAGGCGCCGGAATCAGGAATAGAAGACGACTTGGATGCCAGGTTTGTTTTTCCTGAAGGGGCCCCTCGGCAGCTCGGCAAGCGGGTGATCGACTTCGGGCTGGTCTCCCCCCACCTTCTCCCTGACCTCACTCTGCACTGCGACCATGTAGGCCCTTTGGCACATCCACATCTAGGAATTCGAGGCAGATTGGCAGGGCCCTTCAGGGAGCGGCAGATGCAGGCTCCCACCCAGCCCCTCAAGCTCCGTTTGGGCGTGCAAGGGCCCACCTGGGCCTGGGAAGTCTTCCAGGCCGGCCCCCCGCGCCAAGTACTTCACTGCCGCGTCCTGCGCCGATCCAGCTCTCACCGCCAGGCATGCAGTCTTTTCTGGTGCAGCTGAGGAGCTGCACATGTCCAAGCTTGTGGGCGTGCGCGACATCGCGCACCACCGCGGTTGCTCGCCTGCCCTCTCCACAAGACCAGCCATGCCACAAGCCAAAGAGAGTGGTCAACATGGGGGGACACACGAGCTGGCTTTCTGGAAAAACATGGTTGCCCCGCCTCCGGGACCTCTTGCGCCTTAGGATAGGCAAGGAGAGCCCTGCGAGGACCACCAAACGCCAGCAAGTTGAGGGACTTCTGAAGGCCAAGCTTGAAAGCATCCAGGAACTCAACATCCCAAAGGGCCCCCAAGAAGACCAGGACCAGACGGCCATGCAGGTTAGGGACATCCAGATGCAGGCCCAGCAGATGGCCCAGCTCCCCCAGGATGCCTCAAGGACCTGACTACGAAATGTAAGACTCTTCGAGATCGAGCCGATAATGAAGCCTATCGTGCCAAACAAGCTGGTTTCCAGGGCTGGCTCTCTCAGAGCCTCCGAGGGAGGGCCAAGTGGGCTCACTGGCACACCGAGGCCCGGGGACATCCTGACGCCATTCCAGCCCGAGAGCTGGACGTGGAAGGAGACACACTCTGGGGCCCCTCCGGAGGTCTGGAAGGACCCTGAGGGCCGTGGACATCCAAGTACACAAGGCTGGTGGCAATATTTTCAGCGACGCGCTCAGGCCCGAGTTGACGAGCTCCCAAAGTTTCAAGTCCCGCGGGTCTCAGCAGCTCGCCGGGCCTCCCGAGCTCCACGGGCGCGGGGGGCGACCTGTGGAACCCCGAGCTGCGGGCCGACCTGCACGAGGAAGCTCGCGGCGAGCTCGGTGCGCCCTGCCGGGACATCGGGCGCGCGTGCGCCTGGCCAGAGCAGACCCCGTCGAGTAAAATTGGCATGCGTCCCAAGCCCTCGGGGGGCGGAGACCGACCCGTCACCCGTGCCCAGGGGCTGCGCCGGACTGAGGAAAGAAGCCGTTGCCCGAGGGAGCTCGCAGCCAGCTTGGTTCGCCCTTCCAGGACATCGAGCGCACGTGCGCCTGGCCAGAGCAGATCCCGTTGAGTGAAGTTGGCATGCGTCCCGTGCCCTCGGTGGGCGGAGACCGACCCATCGCCCGCGCGCAAGTCTCTGTGCTGGACATGGGAAAAGAAGCCGCTACGACCCGGGAGAAGCAGGAATCAGGGTTTCGCGATGCAGCTGCGCGAGGCTCCGACCCTTTAAACGCGGCGCTTCCACGACGCGCGAAGGCGGAAGCAGCGAGCTGGATTTCTGTTGACTGGGCCGCCCTCCTCTTAGATGCTGAAAAGTTGATCGACGCGCTGAATCCTTTCTGGACCCACATCCTTGGGAAAGCCCTGGGCTGCCCAGTCCGCGCCATGCCCATGGGCATGCGCGCGCGGCAGACGGGGCGCGCATGCTGGGGCGAGAGGCGTCAGGGCACATCACGGTCGAGCGCTCCGTACTTCAGGCGCGCATGCAGAGCGTTAGCTGGGCGCGCGCCAATCTGCGCGACATGTTAGATCATGCCCATGCACGGCATGGACCTATGGAAGTCAGCACGCTTCTGGACGACATCTCTCTCTCCTCGAGGGGCCCCAAGGCCATCGCCCAGGAGCTGACAACCAAGGGTGCACCGGATTCGGTCCACCAGATGAGAGCCCGAGGTCTCCGTGTCTCAGGAAAGTCCCAGCTCCTTGGCAGCAACTTCCCCCGGGCCCGGGGATCCACGAGGCACTCCAGAAGGCTGGTGCCCACGCCCAGTTGACCACTAAGACCAAAGACCTCGGACTAGATTTTGCATCGAGAAGGCGACCCACACAGGTCGACAAAAACCGGCTGAAAAAAGGCTTTCGCCAGGGCAGAGCGGGTGGAGAAGCTCTTCAAAGCCAATGGGCAAGCCAGCAAGCTCAATTTCACTAGGGCTAAGCCGCAAGCCTCCCGGGGAATGATGGCCCTAAGGGGCCTCGCCTACCGCTCTGAAGCAGCTACTGTCCAAGATGGCCGCCCTGACTGGCAAGCAACGGGCTGGCGGGTGTGCATCGGTAGCAATGCGGCTCGGCCCCGGCAAGAAATGCGACCCTTTGTTTGTCGCTCGCCACGACATGGTCAAGGCTTGGCTGCACATCCTCCCCGCCCTCATGCGCGAGAGGGTCGCTTTCCAAGCCGCCTGGACCAACTGCGTCGAGGCGATAAAGGCTGCTGTACACCCGTGGGGCGAAGTCAGAGGTCCCATAGCTGCTCTAGTTACCACGCTTCTCCAGAATGGGTGGGGCCCTCAGCTCCCCTGGCAGTGGAAGGACCCTTACGCAGACACCTACTACCTGGTTCCCGACGAGGCCCCGCCAGAGAGAGCCCACTTCTATCTTGAGGCGGTCTCGGGCTGCAGCCCAGATTGGCAACGGTGCGTTCTAGCCGAAGTCGAAGGAACCTTCGAGCAGCAGATATGGAGGGATTTTACAGCCAAACATTTTTGTGGCAGAGGTCTTGAGCACGGTGCCGACCTTACTGTTCTCTTGAGGCTCATCCGTGCCCATCGGCGTGCACAACGCCATGGACATGCAGCACTGTTCGAGCGAATATCTACAGGGGCCCTGTGGCCAAGAGATCGGCGTTTCCCTGACGAGCCTGGTCGACAAACATGCCCTCAGCGTATTGCTGCGCGCCTCCACCCTCTGCCTGTCGACGACACTCTACATCAACAATGGACGTGCCCATGTCTTAATGCAAAAAAAACACACACAGCCTTTGACCTCCTCCCGCGGGTGCAAGGCGAACATGAAGAGTGGGCTTGCTTCTGGCACCGTGGAATCGTTCCGATCCTTTGTTATATACCCGCACATCGACGACAAATTCCCTGAATGGACCTTTGAATGCTCTGGAGGTGTTGTTCAGGACCAGCGTCTTCAGCTCTCCCCACATGCCCTTGTAGGTACCGGTGGAAGCGGAGGCGACCACACCAATGGCCCGAGGCTCCGTAGATTTGGCTGGGGTTTTGTCATTTGGTCCCAGGGTGCCATCCTTGGGGAAGGTTGGGGCCCTCTCCACGGTAGGTACCAAACGGTGCCCTCGGCGGAACTCGAAGGCCTCACCCAGGCCCTCAAACACACCGCGGGGCCAGCCACCTTTGTTGTAAATCGCGCCTCCGTTTTGAAAGAAATCCATGCTGGCCCAGGCCAGGTCCCGCCCCTGCATGCCGCAGCATGGGCTCGGTTTCGGCACGACTTTAACCCCAGGCCAGGGGAAGCGCGGCTTATCAAAATGAGAAGTCATCTCACCGAGGCTGACATAGGCCGTCTTGCCTCCGAAGGCGAATTCGGATGTAATGAGGCTGCTGATGAGGCAGCTAAGCGAGGGACTGCCCTTGCCCAACTCCCCCCCGAATCTCTAGCCGAGGTTGCCCGAATCGATTCCCTGGCCAAGAAGGCCCTGGAACACTTGCTCGAGGTAGGTATGGCTGAGGTCCTGGCCAGGCAAGCTGACGCGAAAACCCCAGGAGCCCCGACGCCAGCCGATCTCGTTGCCGCCCGCAGGGAGCGGCGTGATGTCCGAATTGCTGCACGGATGGACGCCCGCCAAGCTACCACTCACCGGGTGGTTCCACGGGGAGGCTCCTCCTTTTGTGCTGTATGCCTGGCGGCACCGACCCGCCAATTGCCCACCAATGAGTGGCTGGCGGTCCCGTGTAGAGGTCTTCCCCATCAGACTCACAGCTCTCACCGAACTCGGCGCCTGCGCGGGCTATGGTGGTGCTAGATGTGTGGTGGTTCGGGGCACACCCGCTTCAACATCTTCGGGAAGGAATGCCAGCGCCCAACAGCTGCTGGCAAGAAAGCACTGGATAGGCTCGCCAGAGGACTCCTCCCGCCGAATCGGGATGCCTGGCCAGACGAGTCAAGGCCAAGTCCAGAGTGAGCTATCCTGCTCCATCTTGAAAGGGCCCTGGCATCTGTACCAAGCTCAGGCCCTCGTGTAGTCTTGTCCAGGAGGAGGAGGACGAGGAGGAGGAGGCGGAGGAGGAGGAGGAGGAGGAGGAGCAGAAGGAGGAGCAGGAGCAGGAGCAGGAGGAGGAGCAGCAAAAGCAGGAGCAGGAGCAGGAGCAGCAGGAGCAGGAGCAGGAGCAGGAGCAGGAGCAGGAGCAGGAGGAGGAGCAGGAGGAGGAGGAGGAGGAGGAGGAGGAGGAGGAGGGTGGGGAAGGAGGAGGAGGAGGAGGGAGGTCAGGAGGAGAGGATGAGGAAGAGGAGGAGGAGGAGGAGGAGGAGGAGGAGGAGGAAGGAGGGAGGAGGAGGAGGAGGGAGGAGTAGGAGGAGAGGAGGGGGAGGAGGAGGAGGAGGAGGCGGAGGAGAGAGGAGGAGGAGGAGGAGGGAGGAGGAGGAGGAGGAGGAGGAGGAGGAGGAGGAGGAGGAGGAGGGAGGAGGAGGAGGAGGAGGAGGAGGAGGAGGGAGGAGGAGGAGGAGGAGGGAGGAGGAGGAGGAGGAGGAGGAGGAGGGAGGACCCGAGGGAGGCGACGCGCACCGCAGCCGTCCTCGCGCGCGGGATGGGCACGGGCTGGCTGGGGGGGCCTCAGCCGAGCCCCGAGGCGCGGCCGCGGCCGCCCGCGCAAGCGCGCCGCGGCGGCGGGCTCACGCGACTCAGCCGCGCCAGCCGCGGCCAGGGAACTCGCCGCGCCCTCCTCGCCCACCGCGGGGGCCAGCGCGGCCTCTTGAGAGGAGGGGGGGCCGCTCTCTCGGCAGCCAAGACGTCGCTTCTCTGGCCCCAGGATCTCGGGGCCCCAGACCCCGCACCAAAGACGCTCGGCCAATGACAAGCCCAGAACCCTTCCGTGCTGCGACCTCCGTCAACCCGCCTGCTCAACCGAGCTTCGCTGCGAAGCCTCCCCCTCCCCGGAAGAGGGGCGGGCGGCAGGGCCTGGCCCTCTCCCGGGGAACTGGCCGCGGCCGCCGCGGCCAGGCGCCGCGTGCGCCTGCGAGCGGTCGCCTTGCGCGGAGGGGGGGGGGCTGCTGCGCTTCCTGACTACCTGCCAGACCACCCCAAGCCAACCCGAGGACCCGAATTTCGGGTTGGCGGGGGTAAGGGTTACACATGTGTTTGTTTGCTGTTTCCCGACGCCCCCCCTGGAAATCGAGGGTAAATCTGAGCCTTCGGGTTGGGTCGGGGTGGTTTGGGAGGCTGCTGCGCCTCCGTGACCGCTGTGCTCTCCCCCGTGGCCGACGGGGAGGGACGGGGGCCCTCCGTCCACGCCGCCGCCTCGTCCTCTCGCTCCTCCCGCGCCCTCGCGCTCCTCCTCCTCCTCCTCCTCCTCCACCTCCTCCTCCTCCTCCTCCTCCTCCTCCTCCTCCTCCTCCTCCTCCACCTCCCTCCTCCTCCTACTCCTCCTCCTCCGCCTCCTCCTCCTCCTCCTCCTCCTCCTCCTCCCTCCTCCCTCCTCCCTCCTCCTCCTCCTCCTCCCCTCCTCCCCCTCCCCTCCTCCCATCCTCCCTCCTCCCTCCTCCCTCCTCCCTCCTCCCTCCTCCCTCCTCCCTCCCTCCTCCTCCTCCTCTCTCGCCTCCTCCCCTCCTCCTCTTCCTCCTCCTCCTCCTCCTCCTCCTCCTCCTCCTCCTCCTCCTAGTCGGCGTGGAAAGCTCGAGCAGGGCCCCGACCCGACCGAGGGGTTAGCAGAGAAGGCCCTTCGAACCCCACGGGGCCACCCGACTCCGCAGGCCAGGGGGGGAGGGGGGTCCCTAGGCATACAAGTCCGCTTACTGTACTCTCACATCTGAGCTTCATGTCAAGCGTGCCGCCGGCTTCACGTGCACCCGCAAGCATGCAGCGCAGGATGCGAGTCCGACGGACGCTATAACGAAATTGCCCCCCACCCCCCCCCACTCAGGTCTGATGGGAAGAACTATTGCATGGACGTTGCGACACACCCAAACAAGCTTCTCAGTGTAGGTTGCTTTCGCATGCAACCATGTAACTTTGGAAAGCAAGTCAAGTGTTTGGAGAAGCCGCAAGGTCTGAAGTCAAGCTGCAGTAATGGTGAAGACAGCATACCTGTTGCAACACATTCTACACATTTGGATGTTACGGGCGAAGTTCGAATGAACATATGGCTTTGGGAACAAATCCGGAGGCTCCTGAGCAGCCTTGTGTTGGGGGCCCCATCTGCTTAATGGATCAGATGTCTCGTCTTACCCAGCGGAGTGGTCCGCTGGTTGTCCCAGAAATTCAAAAACACAAATCGCAGACAAGGTTACGGACGATCACATTGCAGACGCTCTGCAACATTGGGTGGGCTTGGGTTTTCTTTAAATCAAGAACAAGCGGGTCAGTTGTGTTGAGCTGAAATTGCCCGTGGAGGGCCCTTGCCTCTCAAAGGAAGAGCCGAATGCAGCCAAAGCAAGTCTGGATTACAGCTTACACATTGGAGAAGAACGAGGTGCACATCTTGTTGTGTTGCAAAGTCATGTGCCTTTTTGCAAGGCCGAAATACAAGCAGCAGCTGATCAGTTCATGGTGTTTGGCACAATCGTGCACACCAGGAGCTTCGCCAGTGGAGGATTCTGCACGCAGCCATATAGGGTGAAGAGAGAGGAGATCTTGTCACGAGAAAAACATCATCAAGGTAATTATGGGAGGGGAAAGATCGAAGAACACATACACATGAATGAGCGTGTCGGCGCGTATTTGACGCGTCGGGAGTTGAGGATAACTGAAGATGAACAAGAAAACTTGGTGCGCATTTGGCGCGTCGCGACCGCAACCGATGCCGAAGTTTCCCCTGTCGGATTCGCTCTTCTGTGCCGCCTCAGACCAACATGTTCACCCGCGGCCCCGCACTTCCTCCCTGCAGGGCTTGGCTACCTACCGCCCCCGCCTCGCCTCCCTCTCCCTGCCCTCGTCTGCTCCCCGGTCTTGCTCCTCGCTCCTCTCTTTCCTGCCCCTCGCTTCTTTCCGCTCCGTCCCACCTCGGGGCTGCGGACTCACGATCTTCTCGGCGGCCGTCACGCCCTGGCCCCCTGGGCCTGACAGTCCGCGACCTCTTTCCCAATTTCCAGTATGAGGAGGTGGGTTCGTCTCCGCTCACGTCACCAGCGCCCTCAGGGCCGTCGGCCCCTGCGCGCTAGTGGCCGGCAGGCCAATGTGGAATCGCGTGGCTCTTGCATCCGTATCCTTCGCAGGGGCCAAGAGATGCCTCGAGCCCAACCCTGGCTTGTCGCTCGAAGTTGCCCCCAATGCGCTGAACCTCAACCTCCTCCTCTTTCTTCTCATTCCTCTTTCTCCTCCTCCTCCTCCCCCTCCCTCCCCTCCTCCCTCCTCCTTCCTCAGTCCTCCACCATGTCGTCGTCGTCGTCGTCGACCTCCTGCTCCTCCTCCTCACTCCTCCTCCCGCAGGCCGGGCTTGTCGTCATTCGCTACCTCTCATCGATCGATAGACGATGGCCTCCCCGCGGGGTGTCGAGCTCGGCAACGGCGACGCGCAAACGCTGGCCGCCGTACTGGGTGCCGTTGCACCTGCGCCGGTGCTGCTCTCGTCCTCCCTCCTCCTCCTCCTCCTCCTTCCTCCTCCTCCTCCTCCTCCTCCTCCTCTCCTCCTCCTCCTCCTCCTCTCCCTCCCATCTTTTCCTCTCTCCTCCTCATCCTTCCCTCCTCCTCCTCCTCCTCCTCCTCCTCCTCCTCCTCCTCCTCCTCCTCCTCCTCCTCCTCCTCCTCCTCCCCTCCTCCCCCCCGCATCCACCTTCCTTCCTCCTCCCTCCCTCCCCCTATCCTCCTTCCTCTCCTCCTCCTCCTCCCCTCTTCCTACTCCTCCTCGACCTCCCCCCCCGCACCACTCGCATCCAACGCTCCTCCTCCTCCTCCTCCTCCTCCTCCTCTCCTCCTCCTCCTCCTCCTCCTCCTCCTCCTCCTCCCGTTTGCTCACTCTCCTCGACCTCCCGCTCCTCTGCCCTCCCCTGCGCCCTCCGCCCCCGCCCTGCCCCTCCTGCGCCCCCCTGCGCAAGAGTAGACCGGGGGCCAAACTTTGAAGAACAAAACGATCGTGGGATTTCCTATTTGTTCCAGTTCCTCGGCGCTGTTCGGCGTTGTTTTTTGTTTGTGCCGCGCGGGCTTTGTGAGCCGGGCCCCTCAGGGGTGTGGGATTTTCTGGACCCCCTGGGGGCTCTGGAGGCCTGCTGGAGGCCTCCTGGAGGCCTCCTGGAGGCCTCCTGGAGGCCTGGAGAGCCGTCGAAGAGTGTCTCGGGCTGTGCGGGAGCGTGTTGGGCCGTTCTTTCGTTCTGGGGGCTCCTTGGGGTCCCCGCCTTTGTGCCTTTTGCTCATAATGTGGACCCCCAAACGTCTGTACCCCTTCCCCAGGACCGGCTTTCTGTACCCCTTCCCCGGTCCCGAGGCCCCGTAAGGGCCCCCAGAAGCCAAACAGACAGAGAGAGAGAGAGGCAGAAAGCGACAAAACAAAAGCACGTCCGTTTTCTGACGGTCCCGAGACCCGGTAAGGGCCCCCAGAAGCCAAACAGACAGAGAGAGAGGCAGAAAGCGACAAAACAAAAACACGTCCGCGGTGTTGCTTTCCCCACGACGCCGGGGGTCTTGGCCCTCACGGGGCACGTGCTCGCAGCCTGCTCCCTCCCTTTTCGAGCAGCCCCGGCCACTCCAGGGCCCTCGCGACGCCCTCGGCGCTCGAGAAGATGATGAACGCGATGCCCATGGGCGCGTTCGTCTTCTGGACGGGGCCGGGGGCGGGGGGAGAGCGCGGCGCGCGCAGGGACGGCGCAGAGCACGGGCAGCCTCGGGTCGGAGGCAGGCTCGGCCGGCATCGACTCAGGACATCTTGCATCGGATCGACACTCGCGTCGCGTCGGCCGAGATCGAGTCGCTCGGCCTGAATCGGCACTGATCGGGCAGCGGGCAGCATCGGATCGTCAGAACAGCGGGCTCGAACCGGACCGACCCGGTCGGCATCGATATCGTATCGGACCCGAGGAGGAGGAGGAGGAGGAGGAGGAGGAGGAGGGATCGGAATGGATCCCGGGAGGTCCCCTGGAGGCCCCTGGAGGCCGGCGAAGGCAGCTCAGGGAGGGCCGAAAACGTCGGCCCTCGCTCCTCCGGACTGGAGGCCTCCAGCTTCCTGGCCCTGGTCGGTCCCGCGCCGTCGCCGTGGAGGCCGGATGCTCCAGCCTCGCAGACGGCGGCGCAGGACCCCAGAGACAGAGCTCCGCTTGGCGGCTCCGCGGGAGGTCCCCAGGCAGTTCCCTGGGGAGAGCTTCGGAGGCCCCCGGACGAGACTCCAAGGGGGCCTCGAGCACTCACATGCCGAGAGATTGAGGGGGGGGGCTCCGTTTGCCAGGACTTCGGGGCACCCGAGAAAACTGCAGCCATCATTCGCCTCTCCTCTCCCCTCATCTCCTCCCCCCGCTTCCCCTCCCCTCGTTTCTCCCCCCCTCTCCCCTCCGCATCTCTCCTCCCCTCCCCTCTCCTCTCCTCGCCTCTCCTCTCCTCTCCTCTCCTCTCCCCTCTCCTCTCCCCTCCCCTCCTCTCCTCTCCTCTCCTCTCCTCTCCTCTCCCCTCCTCTCCTCTCCCCTCCCCTCCTCTCCTCTCCTCTCCTCTCCTCTCCTCTCCTCTCCCGTCCTCTCCTCTCCTCCTCCCTCCTCTCCTCTCCTCTCTCTCCTCCCTCCTCCCTCCTCTCCTCTGGGTGTGGTGGCTCGGTCGTGGGCGGGGACGGCCGCCGCGCGAGGGGCCTTCTGCGCGCACCGGAAGCGGCACGGAGCTGGCGGGCACCGGCGGGGACGCGGGGAGGAACCGACCAGCCCTCCTCCTCCTCCTCCTCCTCCTCCTCCTCCTCCTCCTCCTCCACAATTACACAATATGAATACTACTCTCCCACTTCCCCTGATGGCGTCCGGAAGATGTTCGGCACCCCCCCGCGTACTGTTTTTTTAAACACAGGATTCCCCGGAGTTGGGTTTTCGCTTGTGTTTTTTTCTAAAATGCTGCTCTCGCTGAGGCGCTGGCCTAATTTTCGGGCTCCCGCTCCTTCCGAATCGTGTTCCCGCTGCAGCGCTGGCCTCATTTCCGCGCTCCCGCTCGTTCCGAATCGTGCTCCCGCTGCAGCGCTGGCCCAATTTCTGCGCCTCTCGTTGTTCCAAAACGTGCTCCCGCTGCAGCGCCGACGTTTTCGATCCTTTTTAAGAAGCCCCAAATCTAGAAAATGATCCCCGGCAAAAACATTGGAGGTGATTACACATCCGGTGTCGATTCGTTGATTTTTGGGGCCGCAGAAAGCCCCCCCCCCCCTTTTGGGCGCTTCCCTCGCCGCCGCCGCCGTCGTCGTCTGCGTCTTTGTCGCGATTGGCAATTTCTACCTCTACCATTACTCAATATGAATGCACTTGCACAACTCTGACATCGGACCCACTCTACCATTACCCAATATGAATGCTACTCTCCTTTCACCCCTGCAGAAATTTGAGATCCGGGTGGGGGACGCGCGTAACGGCAGCGGGCAGCTGGCGCGGGTGCCGCTCCGGCGCGGTCGCGTCGTCGTCGTCGTCGTCTTCGTCGCCGGTCGTCCTCATCGTCGTCGTCGTCGTCGTCGCCGCCGTCGTCGTCGTCGTCGTGGTTGTCGTCGTCGTCGTCGTCGTCGTCGTCGTCGTCGTTTTCATCGCGCCGTCGTCCTCCTCCTTTCCCTCTTAGGTAACAGGGTCAGATGCGAAGCCCGATTCGGTGAGAGGACAATGAAGTAGCTCAATGGGAAGGGATGGGAGGGAGGGGTAGGATGTCAGATGTTGACGCGAGCGCACCTCCTAGCTCCTCCTCCTCCTCCTTCCTCCTCCTCCCTCCTCCCTCCTCCCTCCTCCCTCCTCCCTCCTCCCTCCTCCCTCCTCCCTCCTCCCTCCTCCTCCTCCTCCTCCTCCTCCTCCTCCTCCTCCTCCTCCTCCCGTCCTCGTGGGCGGCCCGTCGGGCGAGCGAGGCGTCGGAGCCGACCAGGTTTAAGGCGGGCCCCTCCCTCTACAGGAGTTATATCCAAAAATAGGTAACCAAATAATCCGGGGGCTATCTTTCGAGTATTTTTTTACCATTTGGGAGTATGTGTTGGATCTGTTTTATTTGTCGTCGAAGATCCCCCTCTAGGGGGACACGCCCGACTTAAGACCAGGCGCCGCGGTGAGCGGGGACGCGTCGGGAGGCAACTTCTGGGAGCCTGCTGGCAGCACGACGAAGGGGGGGGCAGCAAGCCCGATTGGGGAGCCACTCGGCGACCGGTTCAGGCCGGATGGAGCTCGCGGTTGAGCCAGAGCAGATGGGACTGAGCTAGGGGAACAAAAAGTGACATAAACATAAAAACTCGAAGGTCCGCGCGGATTTCTCGGATCGGCGCTGGACCCCCCTCCCTGGCGCGCGGAGCGCGCCAGGGGCGGCGCCGGAGGCGCCGCCGGGGGGCCCCAGCGCCGATCCGAGAAATCCGCGCGGACCTCCGAGTTTTTATGTTTATGTCACTTTTTGTTCCCCTATAAGCGGGATCAGGGAGGATTCGGCCACAGGGGCAAACCAGATCAGGCCGGACTTCGGCCAGAGATGTACCAGCGCCGATCCAGAAGCAAACCTCCCAGGAGCGGCATCCTAAGAGGCGGGGCCGGGGGGGGGCCGAAGGAGAGGAGACGAGTTCATGTGAAGGAGGACGAGGGGGAAACGAGGATGGGGGCGAGGATGAGCAGCAGGGCTGGAGGGAGGAGGGAGCCCAAGGGATCATGGGAGAAGAGATCATGGGAGAAGGTGACACCGTGGACGACAGCCAAAGCCTTATTCACCGGCATGTTGAAACTGTCGATATCTCCGCACTTCTCAAAGTGCGCCTCCACCTCGTTCGGGTCAGCCGCCCACCTGGTTTGTGCTGCCATCTTCTTGCCACCCAGCGCGAGAGGAGGCGCAGGAGGTCATCGTCGTGGTCGTCGTCGTCCTCCTCCTTCTCCTCCGCTTCCTGAGCGAAATCTTAGGGACACTGCCCATTAATAGCTGCCCCAAACCGTCCTTACTCTCGCCTCCTCCCTCCTCTAGGGCTCCTCCCGCATCCTCCCCCTGCGTTCCCCCCCCCCCCCACACCTCCCCCCTCCCCGCCTGCAGGGCCACGTTCGGAGGGGGCCAGCTCAGCGGAGGAACACATCGAGCGTGAATCGGCGCTACGTTGCCGATAGAGCGGCGACGGGCCCCCGATTGCCAAACCCCCTGTTCCTGGACGGGGTGGGCTGTCAGGCCCCATATAGGCGATGAGTGGGTGATCGGGAGTCGATGCTTCCTCCTCCTCCTCCTCCTCCTCCTCCTCCACCTTCCTCCTCCTTCTCCTCCTCTCCTCCTCCTCCTCCTCCTCCTCCTCCTCCTCCTCCTCCTCCTCCTCCTCCTCCTCCTCCTCCCTCCTCCTCCACCTCCTCCTCCTCCTCTCTCCTCCTCCTCCTCCTCCTCCTCTAACGTTGCCCCTCTGTCCTCTGGACACTCAATCGGCTCTCCGGCGGGCCGTCCTGGACGAGCCGGCCCCCCCCCCCCCCCCCGCGGAACGCCCTCGGCGAGGCGAGGCGCAGCTGCTGGAGAGCATCCCGCGGCTGGAGAGCCGCCGAGAACCCCCAAAAGCACTATACTCCAGATTTCGTCATAAAGGGAGGGGGGTCTCATTTCGGGGGGGAGGGGTCTCTTCCAGGCTGTCTTGGAGGGCCCGGGGGGGTCTGGGGGCGATGTTCTGGAGGGCTCTCCCACGGGGGAGGTCTGAAGTGGCTTGTCTTGGAGGGTCCAGACCCCCTCCCTTTTTATTACGAAATCTGGAGTAGAAAACCTTGAACCTCGAACCTCGGACCTGTGCCCCCGTCACGTTGCCCGCGCCCCTTTCCGGCGCGCCGTGGGGGAGGGTCGGCGGGGCCACGGCAGGCCCCCGACGAAGACCTTCCTGCTCTGGGGCCCCTCGGCCGCCTTGCGGCTCCTTGGGTCCGCGGCCAGCTCCTCCTCGGGGGGAGAGCGGCGAAGGAGGAGGAGGAGGGCAGGAGGAGGGGGGAGCGAGGGAGGGAGGGAGTCGGGAGGGAGCGAGCAAGCAGCAGACGAGAGTCAGGTGTCGAAAGGCGGCCAAGCGGCGCTGGCCGACGGAGCGCCGCTCATCGTGGGTGGCCGAGGGCTGCAGGGCAGTGGCCGCTATGCGGGCGCCACGCCTTGCAATATGAAGCGTGCGCCCCAGCTGGGCACCGCGCAAGCGCCGCCGAGGAGGAGGAGGAGGAGGAGGAGGAGGAGGAGGAGGAGGAGGAGGAGAGGAGGAGGAGGAGCGCAAAAAAACACGATGGAGGAAAGAACCGGAGGAAGGACGACGAGAATGGGGAGCATGAGGAGGATGGGGAGGGAGGAGGAATAGGAATAGGAATAGGAATAACCCTGGAGCGCCACACATGAGGGCGAGGAGAAGCTATGAGGACAGCGGAAAGAGGAGGATGGTGGGTCACGGGTGGGTCGCGGGTGGGTCGCGGGTGGGTCGCAGGTGGGTCGCGGGCTGGGTCGCGGGTGGATCGCGGGGTGGGTCGTGGGGTGCGTCGTGGGTGGGTCGCAAGGTGGGTCGCGGGGTGGGTCGCGGGTGGGTCGCGGGTGGGTCGCGGGTGGGTCGCGGGGTGGGTCGCGGGGTGGGTCGCGGGTGGATCGCGGGTGGGCGGGCTGGCGGCCGCATGGGCCCAACACCACGGAACCACGGCCAACGACTGGTATGCAAGGGTCAGCCAACGACGGAGGTGGGCCCCAGGACGAGCGAGGGAATGTGACATCCTCGCTCAAGCGGCCGACTTCACCGCTGCTTACCCAATTCTCAAATTTCTCTCCAAGGGCCTCCCAGAACATGCGAGATGGCGTGCCGCTCAGGATCGTTTCCCCCACCAGTGTAATGAGTGTCAATGCGAAGCCGATCACGTATGGCATACCGCCTCGGCCCAGTACCGGGCGTTGCCTAGTGCAACCGATGCCTAGGACACTGGGCAGGTCCTCAAGCGAAGTGGCCACTGCTTCCGCAGCACGCCCTCCCTGAACGACTCCATACCCTCGCCGCCAACACCCGCAGCGCGAGTGGGTCGCGGGTGGGTCGCGGGTGGGTCGCGGGGTGTGTCGCGGGTGGGTCGCGGGTTGGGTCGCGGGTGGGTCGCGGGGTGGGTCGCGGTGTGGGTCGCGGGGCGGGTCGCGGGGTGGGTCGCGGGGTGGGTCGCGGGGTGGGTCGCGGGTGGGTCGCGGGATGGGTCGCGGGTGGGTCGCGGGTGGGACGACAACAACAAACAACAAAGAACAACGCAACAAACAGAATCTTCACCACGGATCCCCAGTTCAGCCACGCACCCAGGGACAATAATGACCGTATGGCCCTCCACTCTGATCTTAGCCCCAACCAAGGTCAATGGTCCACCTACCGTCCTTGTCAACCTATTAGCCTGGCAAGAAAACCAATCCTTTCCAAATACGATGCGGCTACAACCAGGACCGTTCATTACACAAGAGCACCTGGATCCCACGAAACGCGCGATGAGTGTGCGGAAGTGTGCGGGGTGACACTATATGGCGCTGGCAGTGTAACCCTCGGCGGAGCTCCCTGAGGGGCAGCGAAGCGTGTGATGGGTGTGTCGAATGGTCGGGGTGGCGCCAAGCGGACCCTGCAACTGCAGCCCTCGGTGGAGCTCTCTGCGAACACTGCGGCCTTCGGTGGAATGTGAAGAGCGTGCTAGAACGGGGGCGGGCTCCGCAAGCATCCGCTGCCACTGGGCCTTCGGTGGAGCTCCTCATGGTATCACGAAGCGTGCGAAAGGGTGTGTCGACATCCCTCTGGGGCCACGAAGCGTGTGAGGATGTGCCGGCATGGACACAGGACAGCATGCGAACGCATCCGCTGGGGCCTCCGACGGCACTTCCTATGGAACCACGAAGCGTGGGAGGGGCGTGCCGAATGGGGTGGGGCTCCATGAGAACGCAGCCGCTAGGACCTTCGGTGGAGCCCCCCCCGTATGAGCTGGGAAACGTGCGAGTGATGTGCCGAGATGGGGCGGGGCGTCAAACAAACGCAGCCACTCGGGCCTTCGGTGGGGCTGCCTATGGGGCCGCGAAGCGTGCGAGGGTGCTCCGAAATGGAGCGGGGCGACCGCGGCCATTAGGGGCTCGAAACGACATTGGCATGCGAAAGGCAGAAGGTGGGCGAGGGCGATGCTGAGAAGGAGAGGGAGGATGATGACGATGACGATGACGATGACGATGACGATGACGATGATGATGATGATGATGATGATGATGATGGTGATGATGATGATGATGATGATGATGATGATGATGATGATGAGGAGGAGGAGGAGGAGGAGGAGGAGGAGGAGGAGGAGGAGGAGGAGGAGCGAGCGAGCGAGTGAGCGAGCGAGTGAGCGAGTGAGTGAGCGCGTTGAAGCCGAGAGCCAGCAGGGTCACTCCGCCCGGCGGGCGGAGGCGCTCACAGAACCCTTGCCGCCCGGGGCCAGACCGTAGAAAGCAGGGCCCCGAACCGTCCGCACTGCAAGCTTCAGGGGGGGGGCTCCACGGCGCCGAGGGGGCGGGGGCGGCCAGGCGGGCCTACGGCCGACCCGCCTGATGAGGACGAGCAGCTCTCCACGGCATTGCCCCTGCATCCCTCCCCTTCGGCCCCTCCTCGGCCGCTCCCGCTGGCCGCACCCCGCTCGCAAAGCATCGGCATGGCCTTCCAAGGCCCCCGCGCCCCTATCGTGCGTCCTTCTTATGACGGGAAGCGGCGGCCTCCGCCGCGCGCGGGAGCACGGGGCCTGCGCCGGGCCCGTGCGCGCCAGCGCCAGGCAGGCCCAGCAGGGGAGGGGCAAGCCCGGCGCGCCCAGCGCGACGGCAAAACGGCAGCGTCACGTCGGGGAGCGGATAGGCAACCAAGTGGACATCGGCGGAGCAGACGGAACACCAGCCATCCACCGATCAAATAACGACGGCGGCGAAGACGACCTCCTTTCCTCGTCGTGCATCCCACGTGCGACTTGCCAGGACAACTCGTTTATTATCCCCCCGGGACCCCGGTGCCTTATCCGTTATGATCAGGGGCATCAGGTGATGGAAATCATGGGTTCACATACGGCAGCAGCCCGCAGTGCGCAACCCACCCGCATATGGCAATCTCAAGGGCTTGTCTGGCGCTGACCCGCCGTGTGCAGCCTACCCACCACTGGAAAGCAGCACGCTGGTGCCCCTGCAGCATACGCATACAGACGGCCCACCAGCCACCACAGACGATACCTGTGTGAACACGTCCGTGGGCAACACGTCGTGTGCAACCCACCCATGGCTGGAACTAACAGGACAATCCAGGCACCAACCAGCCGTGTGCTGCCCACCCACTAGATGGAATCCACACCTGCGAAACATCCGAACCCAACAAAACGCCACGGCATCGCCCCCTACATCAACGCACGCGAGCCAGCAAGCTGCCCAGATCTCCGCGAATGCAAGAGGAAAACGCCATGCTGGACCCACGAGGCCGTTTGGCGGGAACGATGCCGAAGCGGCGGCTTTGGACTTGCACCTCGCAAGTGTGACAATCTTTAGAACAAGTTATTGAACATGGTACTCAGTCGGACTCGTCAGAAACACTACCACCACCAGCATCATCATCATCATCGTCATCATCATCATCAACATCATCATCCACATCATCTCTATTTTGCCCGGCTCTAACACTTCGGCGTATTCCAGGCCGCGCGCCAGGAGATTCCCCGATGTGTCAAGCAACCTCTGCTTCTTGGCTGGGGCCCTGCACTAGTGCTGCTTGAATTGTTCTGCTTCCACTTCTCTGCAATGCGCGGCCTGCCCCTTGCAGGTCCAGGCGGTGCTCTCGGAGATTCCGCCCGACCCCTCGTCGCGCCGACTGTGGGCGGCGAAGGTTGCCGAAGTGGCGCGGGTTCGAGATCTCGCGCGCGCCGCCGCGTCGACCCCTGCGTCGTTGCGCAACACCGCCGTGGTTTCGGGGGTCGGAGCAAAAATGGTGGCAGCAGGTGGCACCGAGAATAACGAGACGAGACGATTCCACCAATGGGCTCTCCACCAGCGAACGATTGGCCACCATCCGAGGATCCAGAAACCCGCCAAGCCCGTCAACGAGCTGCAAGCCTATTGGTGCCAACCACTCGCCTGTCACAGCGTCGGGGTTGAGGGCTGGCTGCTCTTTTAGTTACCCGTTCACGGAATAATGATAATCTGAGCCGCATGCTGTAGAGCCATACGCGCGACCCGGATAACCCAGAAGCATGTTGTGCAACTGCCTGCAACCCACAACGCAATCAAGATGATCGTCCTCAGGCATGTTCAGGGCTGCCACTTTCTTTGCCAGGACATATTCCGTTGAATTTCCCGTCTTCTCAAAGTTCGACAGGGTCCCCTCTCGCATAAGTCTGCGAGGCATAGGCTTTCGCGTACTTAAACTGCCGCAGGTGGAAATCCCTGTTGGCCGCGATGCGCTTCCATAGGATTGATCTTGGATTTGCAACGCCAGCCGCCTTGCTAGGCGATCTACAATACGCAAACGTGCCCTTCCAATCTGAGGACACCGTGTACGTTTCCAAGACCAGTTGAAACACACATCAGGACTGCGTAGTCCCCCCACACACACACTTCGCACCTTGCATGGAGGCAAAGCGAGAAGGCACCGCTCCGTAGCACCTTGCCTTCAATCGCCTTTCGTGATCATTCGGCACCGCAGCCGGCCCAACGCTCCTGAGATATGGAATGTCAGCGTGGAAACCGTTGCCGTCATTGAACACATATCCACCATCAACGCATGCAACTCCTTTCTTGTCCATGTTGTGATGGTGGTGGGATGGGCGCCTGCTGGGGGAAGCGAATGCTCGGGCAAGGTCAGGAAGCAGACCGCGGCAGAACAACTACTGCAAGGTCTCCGGGGCCTGTCTCATGCGTGCGACGGTTTTCATGAATTAAAATGGGGGCCAACCTGATCG